TAGTAGTAGGTTTGGAGCGTAGTAGTAGTAGTAGGTTTGGAGCGTAGCAGTGGTAGTAGGTTTGGAGCGTAGCAGTGGTAGTAGGTTTGGAGCGTAGCAGTGGTAGTAGGTTTGGAGCGTAGTAGTAGGAGAGTAGTAGTCGTAGTAGGAGGAGTGTAGTCTCACCTTTGCGTACTTCTCAGCTTCCTGTCTCACATCTTCAGGAATCAGTTGATGTCGTCCGTTCGTCACTGAGAGAAAAAAAAGCTTTACTGTCAATCAATCAGACAGATGTGCGAGCGAGCTGTGTGAGAGAGAGAGGCGCAGGTGTGTGTGTGTGTGTGTGTGAGAGAGAGTTCAGCTCAGGGAATGGTCAGACAGCCAAGAGGAAGTGACATCACAGGAGTTCAGCCCAATTAGCGAAACTGACTCTCATCATTCCGTCCCTGCTGACATCCGGTTTCAGTGATCAGTACTGATTGTTTCTGTGAAACAGGAAGTGGCTCCAGCTGAGCCCCGATTGGTCGACAGCTCACCTTCTCCCACCCAGCTGAGCTCCAACTCGAAGGCTTTGTCCTTCACTTCGTCATGAACGATGTAGATTCTAGAGCAGAGACACAGGTTTACAGAGATGCCTGAAGTCACCATTGGAGTACATCTACAGTACAAGTACTGCAGTACATGTACTTGTACTCCAAACATTCAACCCAGTATCACAAACGGGAAAAAACTTCTACTTCAATTCCTGGAACCGCTTAGTTTATATTAGAGCTTTAAACTTTAAGTACTAATACTCACATTTTGGCGACCTCTTTGACGAGCTCCCTGCAGGTCATCTCCTTCATCTGAGACACAAGATCAATATCTTATTAAACTCTGATCGATCAGCATCATTGATCAGTTCAGGTGTCATCAGAATTCAAACCGTTAATTAAAACTCACCCCCAGTTTTTCGATCTCTGTCTTTGCAGCTTGTTTTGCTTTCCCGATGGCACAACCCCAGTAACCCTGTAGAGACAAGCACAGTCCTGTTACTGGACCAGCAGGGGGTCACGTGTGTGAGAGAAGCGGGTGTGTGAGAGAGCGAGAGACACACATGGCCCTGTGTGAAAAAGTGATTGCCCCCCCCCTGTTAAAACATAAATTAACTGTGGTTTATCACATCTTTGGAAAG